CACAGTCTCAATACTAGCAGAAAAGCCTGGACAGATAGCCAAAGGGAGCAGAAAAGCTAGCACCAGGACAGGAGGCCATGCTCGGGCCAGGCAGCAGTGCCAGGACAGGGCAGCCCCAAGGGGTGGATTTAGGACCTAGAAGACAATTTGTGCACATGCAGCGGGATGCTCTGCCCCGCAGCTGCCAGACCCGAGTGTATCTACTTCCTTCCTTTGGGCTCAGATGCTTTGGTCTGGGGACTCTGGAGCTGGGTGCCCACACTCTCCGGTCTCTCCTCCTGTCTAGAAGGGTGGCGGATGGCAGCGGGAGTAGTCTTGGCTTGCAGGAGGCGAGGGGAGGCTGTGGCACTTCTGGCTTCGTGGCCGGAGGCTCAGTGTCGCGGGGTGCGGGGCTGCTCGCTGTGAGCACGCACGCAGGAGGAGGGTTGCAGGCGCAGCAGGCAGGGAGTGCTATCCTGTGTACCAAGGTCTTTGCCCCAAGCATGTGCTGTCTAGCGCTGGTGCTGCCAGTTTTCACCGGCAGTGCGCTGCAGGAGCTAATCCTGATGTCTGCTGCGTGCTGTCATGTCTGATGCCCTGCAGGAAAAGTTTGCTGTGTGCCAGTTGCTGCTTGTTGTGTGCTGGCAGGGTGGCCCCGTGCCTTCCCTGCTGCCCCCGGGGAAGAGGAGGGCAAGGGTGTACTGATCACTCTTCATACCTCTCCTTCAGTCCCCGGAATGACAGCAGAGATGTGGCCCATCACTAATGGGCTAGAAAATAGCTGACATGCTTGCAGTACAGGTGACCAGTGTGGGCAGCACCTCCTGCTCACCTCTTGCTGGTGGGGTGAGCCTGTGGGCAGGCAAGCTGCCCTTGGTGCGGCTGTGCCGTGGCTGACTTGCGCCTGCTGTTTGGCCGGAGAGTTTTGTCATTTTTTTGCTGTTTGGATTTGCACAGGGTGCGAAGCCGGTCAGTGCTGATGGTGCCTTTGCAGCAGGCTGTTGCTGTGGTACAGTCAGGGATGCAGCGTGGGTTGTTGCCTGGGGAGTGGGCAGTGAGCAGATCTTGTGTCTTGGGGTGACACTGAGCGTTGCCCGAGCTGCTCTGGGTGGTGCTCGTGGCAGTGCTGTGGTGCAGGCTGCGGCTTAAGGCCAGGTTACAGCCCCACCGCTGGTACACAGCAGAGGTGGGGTCAAGGTGTTGTCAGCCACTCCAGGTGTTCAGTACTGCCAGTGCTGAAACAGGGGGGATGAAAGGCTCCCTAGAGCTCACACTTCCCCGCTGAATATTTCACAAGAGCCCTGTGGGCGGCTGCCCGTGCTCCCTCCACCACCATGGCTCCTGCACTGACACTCTGTTTCCCTCAGGACATGCTGATGCAGCTGGCGAAGGCTGTGGCCAGCGCCGCTGCCGCGCTGGTGCTTAAGGCCAAGAACGTGGCTCAGAAAACAGAGGACGCAGCGCTGCAGACGCAGGTGATCGCTGCTGCCACCCAGTGTGCCCTCTCCACATCTCAGCTGGTGGCCTGCACCAAGGTAAGCAGCAAGGTTAACTCTTGACTTGGC